GTACTATGCCCAACCAGCGTGGCTCAATGGTTGAACATCGACCTATGAACCAGGAGGTCAGGGTTTGATTCCTAGTCAGGGCACATGCCCGGGCTTGATCCCCACAGTGTGGGGCATGCAGGAGGCAGCCAATCAGTTATTCTCTCTCAACATTGATATTTCCACCTTTCTTTCTGTCTCCCTTCCTCTCTAAAACCAATAAAAAATATTTTAAAAATTATAAGTTCTGCTTGCATGGTGTGGCTCAGTGGTTGAGCGTCAACCCATGAACCAAGAGGTCACCAGTTTGATTCACAGTCAGGGCACATGCCTGGGTTTCTGGCTCCATTCCCAGTAGGGGGTGTGTGGAAGGCAGTCAATTGATGATGTTTCTCTGTCATCGATGTTTCTATTTCTCTATCCCTCTTCCTTCCTCTCTCTCTAAAAATCAATAAAAATATACTTAAAAAATAAATTATAAGTTCACCATTCATTTTCAAAATTCTTCTTTATGAACAACTTAAATAATTGGTGTGTCTGTTATAAAAACATTCAAAACAGATAAATAAAAAGGTGATTATTGCTCATATTTAAGTACTCTTACCTCTATCTATTAAAAGGCTAATGTGCTAAATGTCCAACCAATGGACCAGTTGCTATTATGCGCACTGACCACCAGGGGGAAAGACACTCAATGCAGGAGCTGCCATGATGCACACTGGCCATTTAACAACAAACGGCACCATGGATATGGTGCCCACAAAGTAACACTTGGCTTCCCCAAGTGGGACACAGGCCCTGCCACCACCCCAGAGCAACAGCCTACCAAATCGCAGCTGATGTTGCCAAGACCCCATGGCACAAAATGCGGCTCACAGCCCAGCCCAGCCCAGGAATGGTGGCTGTGGGTGCCCGGTAATGACATCACATAGCAACACCCGGCTTCCTCTCCCTAGCAACTAGCCTCCTTGCAGTTTCTGCAGTCAGGATCACCACTTGCTTCATAGCCAGATGGAAACATTTTACACTTTAACCAAATGTCTGTGAAGCATTTTCCCGTGCCTCATCTCATTTGATCCTCACAGAAGTCCTGGAGTAAGTAGGTAGGAGACCCAGTAGAATCCTATTTTCTTTTTCATTAGTCAGAAAACAGAGATTTAGAAAGCTTAGAAACTTGACCCAAGTAATAAATGATGGACCTTGAAAATGACTTCAGGTTTTCTCACTGCAGAGAATATAGTCAAACACTGCTGCAGTTAAATATTTTACTCTTTGTTCTCCCTGTGTGATCTATAATAATAATCTGCTTTGTGTTGATATATACTGTTGTGCTGCTGACAATTACTTGAAAGAGAAGTTGAGGTGCTACACTGGATTGGAAAAATTTTAGCTAAATCAGAAAGCAGGTCTAATTAACCAAGTTTATTCTATTCTAATAAAGAAGTAATATGCAAAGTGCCGGCCAGTAGCTATGACGTTCACTGGCAATTTAAAAATAAACGCTGACTCACACATGTGGTATATATATATGCCTCTCGCTGGCACCAATCGCATGTGTGTGTTTTGATCTGTCATTGTTGATCATGAATTTGGTTCACACTTCTATTCTAGAAAAAGGGCGAATAGCAATATTAAAATATTTCTTCTAATTAATTTCCTTTTGATGTGCACGAATTCATGCACCAGGCCTCTAGTCATAATATAATAGTTGTCATATAAATACATTTAAATGTTTATTTATAGGTCATTACCTACTGAAAAAAAATTTCAAGCTTGAGAGGACAGATACAGAAATTTAAAGATCAGTAGTCAAGAATTAAGATAAAGTGTTAATGAGGATTATAATATAAGTCAAAAGGGAAAAATAATCCAGTTTACAAAAACAAGGTAAGTGGAGATATACCTGTAACCTCCTACATATGCCTCTTTAACAATATGGAATTTTCCCCAGAAAGCAGAGTCCAGAAATTGAGGCAAACTAAACAAATCATAGTTTGAAACACCCACAGAAAATGTTGAAATAAAAATCCCCTTTACACTTTAAGCAATTACCATCTAAAGAAAGGGTTCACAGTAGCCAAGGATGCTGCTTAGTAAATAGTTTAAATTCCTTCCATTTGAGAGAGAAAGGATCCAAAGTATATTAGCCTCTCCCCTCCCCCTCTAGTGAATTAATATTCCATGATATACACCACCACTGCTGATGGGGGCACCTCTTTTCAGTAAGCAGAGATCAGCAAATGGCTATTTCACAAAGAATAAAAATATAACCTTGTAATTCTAATGTGTGTTTATGTTTTTTTTAAAAAGTGGCAGATCCATGTTAATAAACCTTGCTCAGGGAAAAATAAAATAGTTGCTAAGCCATGGTGAGTAATTAGCCTTTTAGCATCCCTTTTCTTCAAGAATGCTTCCTCCTGTGCTGGTTCTTTTAAATAGCTCCCATCCTGGCTGCCTTTGTTGGGCTTGGAAATTGTTCACATATGAGAGAAATTAAGCTCTCATTTAACAGAGACACATGCCTGTCAAGACCAGAGGAACAAAGACTAGTCCCTGGGGCCTGTTCAGCTCCCAGAGGCTGCCACTCATTCTGTTAGCAATGCTTACCCTTTACAGAATGCGTATAAAACCCAATAAATCATTTCATCTGCTCTGCTTAATACATGAGAGCTCTGACCATTTTTCAAAGTGTTTTCTCTTATACAACTTCACAGCTAGTTAGTTAAATTAACACACACACACACAAACACAAAACCTACTATTGTTTGTTTGTTTTCAGAATGTAATAAGATTTTTTTCAGTCAAAAAGGTAATGAGAATGTTCCCAAACACTGGTAGCATAAAGGAAGAGGCAGTATCTCCTTAGATTTCATCCCAGATACCTTTCCTATATTCTTAGAACACGCATTTTGTGAATTACCAGTATACCTCCCAGCTGCTTTTAAACCTAGATTCAGAAGCTAGCTCTGGGAAAAACAACAGTAACAACAACAAGAGGACCAGAATGGGATAGGCTTGCTGTCCCATTTAAATTCAACACATTTTGCCTGGTTGGAACACGCAGCCAAACATGTTTTTTTTAGGGGGGAGGTTAAAACTACTACTTAACAGCCAGCTCTTTTTACTAGGAAAGTGAAATGGCCTTCTTATAGACCCAACAAAAATACCCCTTCACACATTCTCATTTCCAAAAAAATAGAGCCTTCTTAAGGAGAAAAGGCAGCATTGCTTTTTATATAGAAATCTCCTCTGTATTGTCCCCCTACCTCATTCCCTCGCCTCCTCCTCCCCTGAGAGAAAACATGAAGGCTATGCTGAAAACCGAACAACCAGTTTAGACCTACTCTTATCCCAAGTAGAGAGGGTCGGAAAGGGCTGTGGGGAAATGAGTATATGTCCATAATTATTAAAATAAAGACTTTATTCAAAAGTAAAATACTTGCTTAACCTGACTGCATTGTATGTAGAGCAAACATACCAAAGATTTGCTCTAGCAATGTTAATCTTTGCACAGAAACACTGGGGGTTCCAGAGCTGACAGCTTCAATCCCCAAGATGCCTTGAACCCCCAAATACTAAGAAGCTGGTAGCTCAAGGCACTTCACCTTGCTCGGCAGGAGGAGAAAAAGCAGATCTACACTTGATAAGTAAAACCAGATCTACACAATGGTTGTATGGAGAAGCCCTGCAATTAATGGAGACCAGAAGCAGTTCAAGAAGCCAGCGCTGCAGCAGATTCTGCAGAACAGGCTCACACCCAGTTCGATATTAATCAGATGTATGGCACAAATGCTTTGCGCGAACACATAACTGTGCATGTGGCTCAGTATAAAAGGAAACAAAAACAGAAGCACATCGGACTCTTTTACATTCATTTTTATGTATCATTTCTGAATGATTTACCATTTTTCAAATAATAATTTATTTTTATTTTTAAACCACAAATCATATCCTGCAGGCCTTAGCAGATGCAGATGTCAGGCTGTGGTAGTACAACAAAATTAATTAAGTAACCCTTGAAAAAAAATAAAACAAAGTTTATTTATGAAAAATGACATTAAGGTGAACCGCCTAATAAGAACATGGATTTGCTTAAATAAAACATTATATAGTTCTGTTTTAGATTCATCCCTAAAGCCCTGAAAGATATTAGAATTTTAGTGAGTAATTACCCTATTTACTTCAAACAAAATGGGAGGAAATCGGAAAGCCATATTAAACTCTACCACACATCAGAAATGAAATTCTCTCGTTTTTTATCTTGCAAACCAATAAATAAATTGTAGCTGGAAAATTTATTAGGACTAGAAGATGAAACCTAACAAGCTAGAAATGAGGAAATGGCCAACAGAATATCCACATCAACATTATGCTTCAAGCAGTAAACCCACTTCTAGGAAGCATAACTGAGAAATCACCCCTTCACAGCTTAATTGTTTTCAGACAGTCTGAGCCACACTCAGCACCACCCCCACAGTCAGACAAAGTTCTAACTACTTAACACATCTCTTTTCAAATGAAAACGCAACACTTGGGGTGAAAACAAGAGAGACTGGGAAAAGGTGTTATATGCTATATATGCCACTGACATAATACTTCACTAGAATATGCTGTAATTTCCTGCAATTAATACTTTGCAAAGCTATAAGGATCCCCCCCCCCAAAAAAAATTATAATATTACACTTGCAACACGAAAATTAAGTTTGTGTCACCCTTTCCATTATACAGCCCCGATGCCAGGAGTTTGTCATTGGCTACAGAAATGTGCTAGGTGTGGCTTGAAAGCAGGCATTTATAGGGCCCTCTTCCTTAAATGTGCTTTTCTAAAAACCCCCATCGCTATCATTTCATGTGGGAGGCATTGCAAGCCATCACAATACCCCACAAAGCAAACATGAATTTGACCTCATAATTCAAAACCTTTCAATGGTTTAAAATGCAAACATTGCTAAATGGACATGGCTTATGCTGTGGCCAAACATGACATTTGCCTGAAAGCTTTGTAGGCAAGACTACCTACTGCTCTCCATTTTCTAAGGACCGGAGTTAATTCCCGTCATCTGGAATCACAGGAGGTCAGAGTCACAAGGAATTACAGCAATAATTTTGTATAATGATCCTTGTTCTAAATATATGGAAAGTGAGAATTAGTGCAGAAGAATAATTAGACAGAGATCATGTAAGTCACTAGCAAAACAAAGACAAGGCACAGCCATCCGGAATCCACATCTAGCCTTCTTTCTGCCAGGCTACACTTCTGTGATTCTATTTTGTCTCCCAGTTGGGACCTTCAATAGAAAGGAGAACAAGTTCTGCTGAAAGTAGATTAGCAATCAATCATCTCCTTGTCTTCTCTTTTCCTGGGCTTGGAACATACAATTCTGTGGAATTAATTCAGTGTCCTGAACAAAGTTGCTCAGGAAAATGAGTAAGAGATAGAGCAGGCACAGATATCAGTAAAATAGCCTGAAAGCACTGGTAAGATCTATAGCTGCATATTTTTTCCAGCTATCTGAAGACCTTGTTTTTATTCATTGGAAACTGTATTTAAGCAACCTAAAATCAGATATGACAGTCAAGTGCAAGAGTTGGTGATCTATTGGTGATCACATCGATTCCAGAGGTGATCACAAAATTAAAGGATAATTGCCTGCTCCTTTTGTGTTACCTGAATTTTTAAAAATAAAATAATAATTACAATGCATTCTCTTCCAGTCTTTTTATAAATGCCTATTTTTAGATAGTTTATTGTATTTACATGATTGTGTTCTAGGGTTTATTCTCACTTATTGTTATATTGTAAACATTATCACAATTCATGAATATAATTTTTAAAGTCTATAACAGCTCATCACATACATATACCATAATAAACTGAGTGATTTTTATAATATTTTTCTTATACAAAAGCAATATGTTTGAAAAAATTTTTGAAGTAAACTAAAACAAGAAAAAATATTTTAACTATAATTTTACTACACAAAGACATTTGCCTTAAACATTGTACTCTTAACCACTTGAAGTAGACAGTGTATCACAAATCTAAGTCTCTACAGCCAGGGCCCAGTCTTACTGTATGACATGGAGGCCAAGGTCCCAAACATGGTGTTCAGATTACCTCTTGTACTGGACTGCCAATCATCTGGACTTCCCTCACACAAGGAATCACTAGGAACCCAAGGATGTACTTCCACTCTAAAATTGAGACTATGAAAGAAACTAATGTATCTGACAGTCCACAATTGCACAAAATCCAATAATCTTAACAGAAAAACCGCTATTGTGTGGATGCCAACTTCAAGAGCCCAACTTTATTTTTCTTTGCCCTGGTTTTCACCTTTGAATTATAGAAATTCCAAACAAGAGCTACAATTCCTCCATGAACACAGACAATGGTGGGATGAAAGCCTGGGGAGGGGATAGGAGTGAGGAGGAGGGGATCAACATGGGGAAAAAGAGGGGACATCTGTAATATTTTCAACAAAAGGATAAATTTTGAGAAAATTCTTCCAAAAGTAGACTATGTGTCTGTTCTACCATTATGTTTCTCACCTGGTTTACCTGATCGTCTAAGACTAAGCTCTAGCTAAACCCAATAATAAATACTCCTATCTAACAGGTGCTTGTTCCTCTGGGCTTTTCCACATACGAAGAATATCAGGTCATCTAATGGTGTCTTCACTCCATCTACCTTCAAACATAAAATCTAGAAACCCATCTGCACACCCATTACAAGAATCACACTGAGGATGGCAGAGAGGAAAACTTGTATCTAGTTTTTCCTTTTGTTAAACCTCCATCACTCATCACTAAGCAAGGTGATAGTTTCCTTTCCAGGTGCACATTCTTCCTCTCCATCATGTTGATTCCTTCAAACTCCATGTTGATTTTTTCAAACCCCAACCTCCAACTACTAAACTGATTATCTGAGAGCTATCATGACATTTATGATTCCCAGTGAAGGGCAAGTGAGGAGGAAGGAGGAGCTGACAGCCACAGAATGAAAAAGGTCCTTTAGGACAAACAAATACCGCAACCGACAGTTGGAGATGCTTCCTCTCCTTGATGTTTCAGGTCCCTTATTGCCTCCTCAGACACCATTCAATTATACTAATCCTGAAGTGCCTGTACTTCACTAATTCTCTGTACATCACCAAATGATTCTGCCACATCCAGCTTAAAAATCACCAAACTATGATTTACTTCATCTTTTATTGAATCATAGTACAGAAGGAATGCTTTTCTGCATAGGTAACTAGACTCTGATTTCAACACAATTTTTTAAGGGGGACAAAAGTTATTAGACAATCCATTGAAACTAAAATCAGTTTTCTTGGTCTTCCTCTCCCCATTTTCCTATGAATAATACAACTATGTATAAGTAGGAACCAACTTTTACATGGCTGGGAAATGAAGGATGCTATTACAGTTCAAAATACACCTGGCCTGTTGGAGTTCTTTAGAATAGTTTGTCTACCTTGTCAACATGTTCAAGCACAGCCAAGTCAGCCTCACTGAAAGCCCTTTCCATCCGCCCTAATCCCAGCCACATAGCAAATTCATCTGTACAAGTTTTAAGAGGAAAATCTTCCAGCAAAGTATATGTTTAACAAAAGTCATGACCTTGACCTGACAGAGAGGACTTTATCCTTTACTTTGACCTGTGAGTTCCTTAACTTTTGTTATAAAATATTACGACTTTAACATATTCTTAATGGATTGGGTGGTGGATAAAATGAATTCAGTATCTCACAGTGAGGCATTACACCATTTGCATCATTTATTTTCTTTTATTTAGAACAAGTAAAAATACTTGACTCTAAACATTAATAACTTTGAGTGGGAGTTACCTTATGTGAATTAAAAATGGTTATGTCAGTACATCCCTTCAGAATTTAAAAAATATTTCCCTGTGCTATATCAAGTGTCACACAGTATATCAATTTTTATTTCCCATCTCTCAAGTCTGGTATGCATACTGTTTAACTTCTTAAATTCTAAGTATAGACATAATTCACAAAAGCGGGGCAAATGCTTGACTTACAGGAGATGGCGTACATAAGATTTATATGAACAACTTTATTTTAAACAAGAAAGACTTTTGCATTTTGTGCTGCTACATCACATAACTTCATCTGTGTGTTTTTTTAAGGTTATAAAATAAGCTGGAGAGATTCATTTACTATCTCTCTAACTTCACAAGCACTACTGATCTAATAGAAAAGCCCATTTTAGTGTGAAAGATCAGAATCTGACCCTATTTTCCAGAATAAAATGCCATACTTCCTCTTAGACAATCTCCAGGCAGCTCTGGCTCATTCTTAGCCAATCATTTCTGAGTGCCTGATAAACCTTACTTTTCCTCTCATTGACAACTGAAATTCCTCCCACTTCATAGCCAGAGAAAATTGTTGTTCTTTTTTTTTCTCTAGATTATCGTGATGATAATAATTGATCAAAGTGTATCCACATTGACTATCCTATATTCACATCACAAATTTGTGAGTTCTAATTATGACTAGTATGTGTCTATAGATACAAACATGCCTACACATGCTGATACAAAATATGTTCATGGATGTTTATAAGGGCCTCTGAAATTATTCCTTACTTAGTATGTAAGAACAACAATAGTCACACCAATAATAATAGTGATAGATGTTATGCATTCAGAACTTACTAGAGGCTTTATACTATGATCTCTAATCAACTAGTAAGGTACCAATATTATCCATCTTTTAGGAATAATGACATTCAGGTTTGAAGACATTAAGTAATTACCTCACAGCTAGTAAGTAGCAAAACAATCACAGAGCTAATAAGTAGTATAACTGAAATTTAAATCTTGATTTATTTGTCTTCAATACCTGTGCTAGTTCTACAAAATTTTTCAATTGAATACACTCTGAAACAATGCATCTTATCCTTTATACCTTCTACTTATATGTACATGTAGTTTAAAAGTATATTCACATTTATACATCCCTCACCTATGTCAAACTGTAGTCAATTACATAGATAATATTTTTTAAACACAATAAAAAATAGGTTGATTTCCTGGGTCAAAATTCATTCTGTTTAGATAACAGAAGTCAAATGGCATCTGAGAATTTATTTTCTAAAAAATTTTATCTAATTATGAAAAACTATGTTGTACTTTTAGATATCTCTCCCAAAGACACAAATCTGATATCAACACATTATCTTTCCAGTACACCTAACAAATAAATAAAAATCAAGTTATTAACCTAAATTTATTAAAACTGTTTGAACCATAATCTATTATATACTTTCTAGCTATTAAGTAAAATAGCTATAACCAAGGTCAAAAGTGTATTTCAACTGCTCAAGAATTATTTGCTTATGACCCAAACCTCTATCTATAGGTATGTAGGAAGGTAAATATGTAGAAAGATAGATAAATAGATAGTCCAAAGAACTTAGAGTTCACATTTAATAACTTAATCTGCATTACACTGTATAAAGCAGTATTTCTCAATCCTGACTGCCCTCTGGAATCATCCAAAGAGCTTTTAACAGTCACCATCTGGGACTGTACCCAGACCAATTAAACCAGAATTTCTGGAATGGGACCTAGGCATTAGTATTTTTAAAGGGCTTCCAAGTGATTACAAGGTACAACCAAAATTGAGAATCACTGGAATCAAATGTTGTCACTATGTCAGCTGGAGAAGGTAGCTGCACAAAAAGGTATTAACATTAAAGGTGACTGATCCTCCATAGAGAGACATATCACTTTAAAGCCCCCAGAAAGTAATATAATTATCTAAGGAGTTTATATGTAAATACCACGAGTCACTCAGCCATGAATACATTTCATACTAACCTACAAAAAGATTTCAATTATGTTCTTTTTATCTCTTTCCTTGTAGGTATGTACTCACTGCTGTAGTAGTTCTGAGGTATAAACTGATTCCTATAACAAATGTTCTTTTTTCCCCCATTTAAAGGTAAAGGGACTATAATGAGATTTTAGATGTTAGATACTATTATCCACATTTTGCAAAGTAGAAAATTAAAGTGCACTAAGATTTATTCAAGTCACAAAAAGGGCAAGTTGAGACACAACCTGGAATGTTAAAAACAGGACTAGATTCGGAGTCCAGAAAGTTGGGCTCCACTCATGGCTCTAACAATATTTAGCTTTTAAGCTTGGACAAGTCTGTGGTCTGTGCCTCAGTTTCCTTGTGTAAAGTAAAGGATTTGTTTCAAAGAGTTTCAAAGACATTTCAAAGAAACGCAAAAGTGGGGACTTACATATATTTGGAAATGTTTTATTTTACCAAATAAAGTTACTGGAAAGCAAAAGAAACAAAGCACATAGCACTTATTATCACCTTTACTTCACAAACAGAAAGGGCATTTTAATGCCAAAGAAAGCAGGGGGTGGGGGGAACAATCTCAGGGTTATTTTTAAGTCTATCTTAATGATAAACTCACTGTATTGTTATTCAACAGGAATAGCTGGACCCACCCTCCCCCCATCAGTGAATGAGAATCAGGCAGACCTGGAGGTGATGTTTTCAAGTTCGATATACTGTGAAAGTGAAGACATGGAAGAGGTGGGACATTTAACACCTGTTAGTGCAGTGCTTTTTCAAGGGTTTCACACAATTCCATTATGAAAGAACTGCCTTCATAATTTTTGCCTTATTCAAGTATCCAATTACTGTTTGCTTAAGGTTGTTATTTAAATTGCCTTTTTTTGGGGGGGGCGGGGGGCTATTACATTTATTTCAAAAGGAAACTTTACATCACTCCCTCAAATGGAAAACTAAAAATCACTTGTCATAAATAGAAGATAAACAGATAACCATGAGAATAAAAGTTTTATTTTATTTAAATTCTAGTTAAACATGATTGCCTCCAAAGGCTCCAGACTAAGATGATCTCTCTCTCTCTCCTACAGAGAGAGATTAGCACATCCTAAAAGGTATTAAAGACTAACACTACACTGAGCCCTCAGTACAGTCAGAAAGATGAAGAACAAAACAGAAGAGACACCTTTTCCATGGGGGCCTGGTTCACTGTTATGTAATGTCACATGTTGGCATCACCTGGATCTTATGCCCACTCTTCACCATACTCTCCCGCCTCTGAGGAGGTAAGACAACCTCCCTCTTTCATTAAACCCAGAAAGCTGCAAAGACTTTGGATTGCCTGAATTTTTAGTATCACTAGTTTGAGAGAGAGCTGGGGTGTGGAATCTGAGAGATAAGCTCATGTAGATAAGATAGAGGAGAAAGGGTCACCTAGAGGGGGCTGGAGAATCTGAGGGATAGCCCCTGAAAAGCATTGGAATTCACAGCAGTTCTGGTCTGCTGAATGAGATCTTTGCCATAAGGCCACATTTAGAAAACAGATAGCCAGCTGATTAATAATTCCATGTAGTAGCTCATAGGTGCCACCTCTTCTTATTTCTAGTTCCACTCCCAACTTTAACAAACAGTCTAGTGTGATTAACTAACTCGAAGTTTCTGACCCACAGTAATAATTCTATTTTTAGCTGTCAAGGCCCTTGCTATTCATGAAGTACAGTAGCTTTACCTATTCTTTATAATTCAGAAATTTCACTATTAAAATGTTTGAAGCAAGCTATGGAGCATCTATCATTACTTTAAAAGTTAATTAGATTACATAAAAGAAATAATTAGATTTGCATTTTTTATCTTGGTTTTAAACTTCCAAAGAAGATCACAACAGCCTGCCTGTGGGCAATTAAAAACAGCATACAGCAGAAAAATAGAGGAGAGAGGGTCTGTTTTTCCTGGCTAATTCATGATTGAAGATAGAATTACAAAATATTTTAAGGGCTTGCTGAAGCTGGGGGCTAATCCCAACTTCTAAGCTTTGTTTATAACCCTCATTTCATTGCAAGAGTGTATCAGATACATGTACAGTGCCAACAGAAGTATCAGATTACTTCCAATGGGTTTATTTGGTCCTTTCAGAGGCAGTTAGAAGGAGATCAGTTACCTGATCAATAACACACAAAAAAGGACTATTCGCTAGAGCCAAAACAGGAGCACTGTAATTGCTTTTTGTTTATCAATGCTAAATACAATTAACAAAGAGATACGACATAAGACAGAGGGACTACGTGAGACTGGAAGGCTCCTGACTTTCCTCAGGTTTTCTGCTTGCCACATCAGCCATCTCCAAAAGACAATAAAGGCAAGGTCCAGCTCTTAAAATTAGAGGTCAATTAGATACTTAATGATGAAGCATATCTCCAAATATATATCTATTATTATTATCCTAGCAAAAAATTAATTAACCAGGCCATGCAGGCCATGAAGGCTAATGTATAAAGTAATTATTTCTGATCTTTAGACAACTACTTCACATAAATGGGAGTCCTTATTCTGCTCAGCAGATACCAGAAATACCTGTAGTTAATCATACTGAAAGAAACAAAAGGCCAGGTTTATCCTCTTAAAAGGTGAGAGTACATCTCAAATTATTCTGTTTAATGGTTTAAGAACAATCACCTCCTAGCTTATAATATTAACATCTCCAGATTAATTGGAAAAAAGAATAACACACATTTAATGGTGTTCTGCCACGTGACAAACACACAGAGACAGCATATACAAATAGCACATAGGATTATAACCAAAATAGAAAACACAATGTATGAATATTACTCAAATACCCATAAGAAGAAAGAGGCATCATTGAATAGACAAAGAATTGGTTTTGGACAGAAGCAGCATATACTACAGCTTTTAAAAGAGAATGTTTTGGACAAGACCATGTATATCTGCAAAGCAGCAGCAATGGCATTTAGTTTAGTCCTTCCACCGACTGAGTTCACCAACTAAGGAATGTATTAAAATATGAGGGGAGGCCAGTTAAAATTGTATATTACCCATAAAGATTAACAAAGAGCTAAGCATTTCAAGTTTCACAATTACACCTCAGATGCTGGATGTGTGTGAGCTGACTAAATCATTGGCTCTGACCCAGCAAGCCAAATAAAATCCCAATGAGCCAGTCCATTCTTAAGGGACCATTGTTGTTCGGTCAGTGATATGAAGAAAGGACACTCCCTGTATAGCACACAACATAAGCCACTTGAATAACACTAAAATTAGGGTCTGAACAGACATGGCTAATTAGATAACACCATTCATGCCTGCAGAAGTAAGTTTCTCACAAAGATATTTTAATGAGCTGAATTATCTTGCAAAGATTAGGTTCTAGCAGTAAAATGCCATCATTAAATGTGTTCCTACTGATGCTATCAAAACCAAAGAATGTGGTGTGTTATGTCCACAAAGAGTATCTTCTCTGAATTCAAAAACCACGAGATGGTTAAATCATGGTAAATGAATAACTACATGGATGGAGCATAAAATCAGGATCTATAAAATATTTTCTGTTTGCTTAGACTAGACTTACAGGGGTGGACAACAGTATTTTTCAGCTGTAAACACCTGAAACAGTTTATTTTTATATTATTATTTATTACCTACTAGAGGCCCTTTGCACGAAGAGATTCATGCAATAGGCCTTCCCTTCCCCTGGCTGCCAACAGCGGCTTTCCTCTGGCACCCGGGACCCAGGCCTTCGCTCCGGCCAGAGCCTTCAGTCTTCACAGCTCCAGATGGATGGAGCCTTCAGTCTTTGCTCTGCCTCTTCACCCCTATGTATGTAACTGCCATCTTTGTTGGGTTAATTTGCATACTCTCCTGATTGGCTGGAGAACATAGCGGAGGGACAGTTAATTTACATGTTTGTCTATTATTAGGTAAGATTGTATTATTTATTTGTATTACAGCTGTAAATCTACTTTTGCCCACCCTGTATATATAATAGTTGATTAAAATATTGTGTTTCATATGTCCAATGAATTAAAAATAAATTTTGTTTTCTAATCAACATAACTCATAAATAAAATTCTTCAAGAGACTAGCTAAGTAGCATATAGTGCAATGGGTGGGAGACGGGGGATGAAATTACTAAGGCAGTTATCTGTCCTTTGGAATTATAGCATGAGACTCAACATTCCCAACTCCAAGGATCCATATTCCATGATTTATTAGTTTTGCTTTTCATAGAGTTGATAAAAATTTTGCTATATTTGTTCTAGAAATAGCAAAAACATCTAACTTTTTCTGGGCTCACATGGCAGGAATTACTTAATATGTAACAAATTAGAGGAATCACCATTTCCCCCAAGCACAAACAGAGGGATTTGAATTTACTAAGCAAACAGCCTCCTAAAAGATCTGTTAATATTAAAGCATTTTAATAATTGTTTAGTTATTAACCTGATTTTTTTAAATGGTAAAAACTGACTCATCAAAAAAATAAAAACATTAGTTCACAAAATCATTTATCTTACTTTTTTCAACAAGGTCTACATGGTCTTAAAAGTATGCCTTTAAAATTTCAGTTAGGTTTTACCAAGGCAAATTATGTTAAAAATGATATTCAAGGAAGAAATTATATAAATGAAATTATTTAACTGCATACATAACTTTTGAATTAGTGCAAACAAAATAAACCTGTGAAATTGCGTTACAATACTACCTCGTGCCTTTTCCTATTTCTAATGAAAAATCCCGCTTTTAAATTTGTGCAAACCATTAAGGTTTTCATTTGTTTCCATTATAATAGGCCCAGATGTATTATTACCAAAGGTTAGACACTCTTTTCTTTCTTTCTATTACAGGTTGTAATTTCCAAAACAAGAAAACTAATTCAGAAGTCAGTATTCTGAGCTAGATGTGAAAAATAATCTTGACTATAACCACCTGACATTCATGATTCATAGCCAATTGCCAAGGCTCAATCTTGCTGACCATATTAGCTAATAGGTTCTAGGACTCAAGATTTTTAAGAAAAGATAAAATGTCAAACTTGCGCAAATGGTCTCCGTATTCATTTACCTTCAGAAGAGAAGTTAGGGTTTTGATTATCTTATTTTACTCTGTTATGTTTTGATTTCAAAAGGGAGAATGTTTCTTTCATGATAGAAAAAAAAAATGTTCCAAACATCTCATAAGTCTCATATTTTGCTCAAAAACATATATATTAAAAATTAGCTCAACAATAATCTCTCTCTTAAATTTGATCATGTCTATGGCTTGTCAAAAGCCATTTTCAAAAATACAGTTAACCCATTCCCTTTCAAAAAATAACTAAAGGTAGTAATATCAAACACCGCTTTTTAAGTGTCAGAGACAAATACTTGTGTAACAACTATTTTTCAGCATTTGAAAAATTCTGTAAATGGTCTCATACTGATAAGATAAATACTGACATGCTATGCAGTGAAGAGTAGCTCAGAACAGAGAACTGTAAATACAGGTTATTGCTTCCTCTTATTTTTTACAATGTGAATTCTGGTTACAAAGAATCCTACATTTCTAAAATGAATATAACTGACACTTTAAATCTCTCTATGATTTTATAACTTAAAGTCCTGAGATCAAGTGCTGATCAGCTTCAATTTTTATAAATTTAAACAATGAGAAATAACCACAAATATAAAAAGCAATTAAACTTCTATTAGAAAACCTGGACCAACTATTTTCCTGTATTTTCACACTGAATATTCTGATGAGTAATATTTTAAGATCAAGTTCGAGTTTCGTAAAAAAAACATCAATTTCATATAGTTAAGCTGTGACTATAAAATCACATGTAATCAATAAACAGCAATAATATTTCATAAAAATACTCAGAATTGGTTGCTATTCATCTGAAAGCCTCAGTACCACAATTAAAATGGTCACTTAATACAAACAACATTGAATAAGTGAAATATATTCAAAATCAATAAAGAAGTAAATAATAAAGAAGTAGTAAAAACATTAATAATAAATAACTGATATGGGAATATGGGGAACGTCTTATATTCCTACTTTAGAAATATGAGAAACAGAGAGAATTAAATGATCAGGTTATTTAACACCCACTGAGTTCTTAGAGAAGGATCTAGAAAAAATGTAGGAAGCCACAGGCTAAAAATCTTGACCTTAGTAATAGGAGACACACTGAAAATTCTAATAAGAACAGAACAAGGGAACACCTGGACAGTTATTTAATTAAGTATCTCAGCATGAGTTATAGAAGAGATATTGGGATGAGAAATTATTCCAAGATTTAATTGTAAAGGTTGGCTGTCAAAAATGCCAGAGACATTCCATTTCCTCTGCATTTGGACTCTTTACTTTGAAACATATAGACTTGGGTATGGAATATAGAATCAGAACTAATTTAAAAACAACCATAACCACAACAAACCACTGGTTAAAACCTCCTCATGAAGATAGCCAAATCAGGTACAGGTACTTCTTCAGGCACTTAATCATTATTTTAAATGCAGTGAGTGCTACCTGAGACACTAAGTATGATTAACAAAAATGAAGCAGAATCTACGTTAAAATCGCTAGCTTTCATCAGTAAGGAAGAAGATTAGAGTAAACAACGATATTATGTGAATGTTTTCTTAAGAATACAGGAAGGTGTAATAATATTAATCTCAAGGAAAGGAATCATGTAATTCAGAATATGCTGCCCCAACTAGGCTGAATCGCAGATCCTTGTGGTTAGAAAACAGCCACAGCAGCCAACAGAAACCACAGAGGCTGTGGTGGGTACATATAACTCTGGCATCGGTATTCCTGAGTATTAATCCCCAGACCACCATACCTATGTTCCTATTCAGAAATGGAGACCAATCCCTTACCTATCTCAAATAGCTGTGAGTTGAATTCACCACCAAGTGTCTAAAGCAAAGACAGAAATCAAAATTCCTTGCCATGCCATTGTCATCATGATCTATAGACAGTGTTACCCTGCCACAACAAAAAAGAGAATTTCTAAATTGTGTTACAATGATTCAGAAACAAGTTATTCTTCCTTTCTAGACTATAAGCTCCTAAAGACAGACAATTATTCATTCGTCTTTATATTCCCCTCAGCATCATCTAACAGAAATGCAACTGATATCTGTTAAAGAACTAATCAATTATTACCAACCTTTTCCCAGGTCATAAGATTCTTCTCATAACTGGCCCAATCAGAGAATCCTAACAAGTAAACAAGCACAGGCTTCTCCCCATGATACTGTTAGATGATGAAATACAAGGAGAAATTGGTTTGTGGCAATCAAAATAGCATGTGTATGCTACCTTGGAAACCACTAGGTTTCCACTAGGTTCTGTCAGGCAAATGGCAGAAAGAAAAGAGATAAGGTTTTTTTCCTGCATATGCATCACGTCAAAAAAGAATGCTTTAGACCACCGTTTAGTTGATATTTCCTGCATCCACTTATACCATGGTACACAACATCCTTGATAGTAACTACATCGGTGCTGTTTATAAGGGAGGGGTGCATTTGCAGCATTTTAAATTCCATTTTCAAGGAGGAAAGTCTCTGAGTATATAATCAGACGAGAGTAATAAAATACACTGACCTGGATCTGTTGCTGCAGGAGATTAATTTTGTGCTGCTGTTGCAGAAGTTGCTGCTGTTGTCTTGCAATCTATCAGAAATAAAGTTACATTAAGTTGAAATGAAATGCTTACACCTTTGCCATTACCTCAGGTATCTCTCCTGGTATTACAAGAATGCTTTACTGCACTTCTATGTGAAAGAGTTCCTATAAAGTGAGAGAGGCAGAACCAGAAATTTGGAGGAAAGGAAAATTTCAAACAGATGCCACTTCTCTGTGCACCCCTAACTCTTCGTCTGCAGTTGAAAACTACCCCACGTACATTAGTGAGCAACTCCTCTAATCTGCACCCATTACCTGGAAAGAATGGGAGTTTCAAAATCTGACCCTTGAAGAGTAAATATGGAAAAACTATGGCTACGTGTTTCTAAAGAGCTTAATTTGGACTAAAAAGGTAAAATCTGAATGCAGAGACAGGAAAGAACTTTTTATTAATTATAATACAATTGACTTTGGTGAAACCTTTTCTGATATAAGGACTCTCAGTACTGATAAGACAAATATCGCCAAGGGAATATCAAGAAAACACAGCAAAATGTCAAAAATCGTTACAAAGATCTCTTTTTGTTGATTTACAAATGTACATCAATGATGTGATATACAAAGCATTTTAAACACAAAATTTAATATTTATCTAGTTATTCTTCTGAGGGTAATGTGTTACAGTCTCTTGCTTCTCCCAACAATCAAATTCAAAGTCCTAACACATCATCTGGTCTAGGAAAAGAAATATTAACCTCTTCATGCAAGCCTCAGTGAAGACTGAATCTGCCCCTCAGGAGAGCAAACAACTTCTTTAAGATGGTGTTTACTATAAAACATGAAGGCACCAGTCTGCTTATTGTCTTAAAAGCTGAGCTGAGGGGGATGCCCCTTAGAATACACTCCAACCTAGAAAGCCAGAGGGAAAGTGGCCAGGGAGGACTTAGGAAAACTTGTACTGGTGCCCTTTAGGCAAGAGTTATAGGTATGGGGTTGTTTTTGTTTTGTTTTGTTTTTTGTTTTTTTCCTAATTTTTTTTTCTATTTCCAGAAGCCAGTATTCTAGAATGGGCAATGTGGGAAGTGAAAACAAGTGTGTATTGACCCCCAGGTTTATGCTTTGAGTCTTTTTGATGCTTTAGCCTAGAGCAGAGGGAAACACCCAAATCAGATTTTCATTCAACAGAAGATGACAAAATAGCAGTCTGCTACCAAATGTTGCTTTAAGGTTTCTGGTAATGACTAGCTCATTCTGGAAGTCATGACAAAACTGTCCCTAACAGTTTGAGACATGGGACCATTCCTTCCCAAAGCTTTATAAGCAAACTGGAAATGATATTTAATCATATTGAAAAGGCCCACTTTACCTGTCACCATTCAAATCAGAAAAGGACAGTGGTTTGGGGGGATGGGGGAAAAAGGTGAAGGGATTAAGAAGTATAAATTGGTTGTTACAGAATATACTGCAGATGTAAAGTACAGCATGGGGAATATAGTCAATAATTTTCTAATAACTATGCATGGTGTCAGATGGGTATGAGAATTATTGGGATGATAACTTAGTAAGTTATATAATGTCTAATCACTGGGGTGTACACCTGAAACTAATATAAAATTGTATGTCAACTGTAATTGAAAAATAAAAATGATTTAAATTAAAAAATTGTTTTTAAAAAAGGAAATGGACAACTCACTCTGTGACTCTAGGTTTAGATGCTGGATCCTCTGAATATTTATTTCCTCTTAGCAAACCAGTGAAACACCACTAGGCATCTAATATTGATGGTCCCTCCTAAATGATAAAGTGCTGCACAGAAATGCCTCTAGAACACCACAGTGCAATTACTATCATCCACTTTAGACGTGTGGGTTTGACACAGTGAAGTATGGTACATAAGCACCATGTGGCTCAAATTCTGAATTTTATTTGCCAATCGGTTGAGCTACATGCTCGCTTCATTGAGCATGACAACCTAGTTTTAAGTGTCATTTAATTTTCATTTTGAAATATAATTACAAAGTGTTCACTGTAAGATATCACTCGTCTGCAAATGTGTCAAGATTAATTTGTGCTAGCTTATTCACAAGTGTCAATAGTTAATTACTGTGTCATCTCTGGATGGCTAAATGACATTCTAACTTCTGATTTTTTACAGTGTTCCTTTATGTTATTTTCCATTAGGGGTTGAGTCCATATTCCTACACGTGGGCAAATATTCAAGCATATAAAATACCAGACGTCACAACTCATTAAAATCAACAGAGCATATATTGCTCTATATACCCCTATAAAATACATTTAACTGAAAAGATAATTCCAGTAATAATGTCAGATTCCTAAAAACTGCACATTAATTTGGGTCTATCTGATCTAAAGCACCAGGGACTACTCTATAGGATCACTGTGTTAGATTAATGTACACTTATGAGACAGGAAAAACATTTGGGAGAGCGATTTATTTAAAAACATATACATTTAAACTTTGCTATTTTTTCTTCTTTCTCACTTCTAAATCAATGAAATAAAATTCTTATAGGAGCCATGTGCTAATTATTTTTTAATGATTTACCTGTGCTATAAATAGAGTGACCATATAATTTAGCATCCAAACCAGGACAACTTTTGCAAGTGGAAGGGGGATTATTAATACTTATTTTGGAAAACAGGCATTAACCAGGGCTATTCCGGGAAAACAGATGTGTGACCCTAGTTTTAAAGTCAGAGAAAAAATCAATGGATCCATGGGCTAGAAGGTCCTCAAAGTTTTCCTAAGGCAGAAGCCTGTTTTTCTGGATGAAAAGAGTAAGGCCCAGAGAGAAGTGAAAAACTTATGGTTAAGCTACACTGGGAGTCTATGTGCTGCCTGCCTATGTGAATCAGCTTCCCTGAGTAATTGATCCCATGCAAATGTTCTGGAAGATGTTATCATTTCAGTTATGCCCAGTTGTTATGATGCCTTTCTTTGTCCTCTACATATCCCCCTCAGTATTCTCAAAGAACCTGATTTCCAACAGGCTTCTTTCTTTCCTTCCTTTTTCAGGCACCCTTCTGACAAATAAACCAATCAATGTGATTACTCGCTGAGCTTGGCACATTCCACATCTCCAGTTCGTCAGCACCCTTTGCAGGGCTCACCTGTTCTTGCTGTTGGCGAGCAAGGTCCATTTGTTGCCGTTGTTTCTCAATTTGTGAGGCTGCCAGTTTTTTCTGCTCATCATGCGCTGCCAGGAGCTGCTCCCGTAAACTGATCAGCTGGGTAATCATGGTAGAGAGCTGCCGTTCTTTTTCTGCCAGGCTCTCAGGTGTACCTACAATGGAAACCAGAAGATATCTCACAAGTTTGAGAAAAGTATGAATGAACTGGGGAAATGGTGGGAGGAGGGCAGATTTAGAAAGGGCCTGCCCTACCACACTTAAAGATCTGGGAGAATAACTGGAGGTCATTGTGAGTGCAGGAACACTACAGAGTAGCAATGGAATTGATGCTAGGGTTAATCACTGCCCCTGCCAAGAGCAACTATTGTTCCCAATATAATTCTCCCTCACTCTTCCTTCTCCCTTTCACTCTTAAAAACAAAACAAAGCAGAACTACCTACCATATTCTTTCCCTTTCACCACACGCCTCTCCTTTCCTCTCCCAAACCTATCAGATCAAGTTAGGAAACAGATGATACTTAGCACCAAAGGTTAGAAACTATGGGTTGTATTAATATTCTATAATCACCTCTACCCTCAGTGACTAACATAGGCTCAAAGACATAGGTAGGTGCTTAGTAAATGTTATCTAAGGAATTTTCTGGTCATTGCCCTCATGAAATTTTTCTATTGTGCAAAGATCTGTCTCTGATGCTCAGAAGTCAGGGGTCGCTCTCTTGGCCATGAAACAAACAAACAAGCAAACAAACAAACAAAAACAGCTTTGCCTTAGGTAAGAAAGGATTGAACCTGATTTTTGTTTTCCTGTGAGGGGATCAAGCTAAAGTTCCCAAGTTCATCCTTAAAGGCAACAGTATTGGTTGGGGGCTCCCTCGCCCCTTTGTCATTCGTCATTCTTCAAAGGGAAAAAACACATTCGAGGTTGAGAAGGTTATGCATAAGGATGTGCTGCTTAATGAATATGATGTCAGTGAACACTTATGGTATGCACTAATGGTGCTGAACAGTCTTTTTATGGGCAAATTGCACAGCTCTCCAAAGTAAAGAGTACGGAATCCTTTTGTGAATCTAAATTAGAGCATTTTACTGCAGCATAAGATAAGAATTTCAACCCTCTGTATTTGAGCCACACAGTTTCATTATGAAGAAATGATCTATGATTTGAAAGCTTTTCAGAAAGATGCCACCAGCTGTCAAAGGGGACAAAGATTGCCAATTTTTGTGCGTGTGGAAGAAGAGACTTCCAATCTCCTTATGAAACCCCTTTCATT